AGAAAAATATCGCCAATTCGCTGGATCCGCCGACGCCTGCAAATTCTCCATTTTGTAGGATAGCGATTCGTTAATCCCACCGCAAACTCGTAAAATCGTCGGAGTTGTTCCGTTGAAAATTACACCCGGCGGAAAACCGAAGAACAGAGAGGGAAGAACAGAGGATGCACTCCTGTTACTCAATCACGGGGCGTTAGTAGCCTCTTTCCTTCCTGCGGAGCCGGCGGCGGCGGCGGCGATGAGAATGTAGGTCAAAACCGGGCCTACTTCCAAAAAACAAACTGATTGTGAGCCCGCCAATTCAGGAGCAATTAATGTGGCATTAGTTGTTTTCACGCCACTTGGTCTCACAGCTCGGAAGTGAGGAAAAGAGGAGCGGGGGGAGGGGCTGAGAAGCGGTCCGATTTCCTGCCTCGGGACTCTGGGCCCAGTTTGGCAACGTTGTAAATTACCTCTTGATGGTGTCACGTCCACGACGACGCGTCATGTCATGTCGCACTGCACTCTAAACGCCTTTTACGCATTACGCACGCTTCGGCTCCCTCCTCTCGCCTGCATTTTCCGGGCTAATTTCGGCTCTCGCCTCAATCAAGCGACCATCGCAACGTAATCAAGTTTTAGATGCTATCTATAGTCTATAGACTATTACTATAAACTATAGAAGGAATGAGTGAATTGCTCAGGTCACGGCAGGGCCGAGTTTCGATGTTTATACACTGCTGCGGGTCGATTATTGAAATTGATAGACAAAGCTACAGACAAAGAAGACAAAAGGGATTTGGAGGGATCCTTCTGGTGGAAGCGGGTGGTTGCAATGGACAAAGAACGTGGGTGATAGACTAATTAACGGCAACCCACGAGAGACCCGATAATTAGTCCATCATTTTCTCCCTTAGTCTATAAGGGCCACCCGTTTCCACCTATAGGATCGCCTCTTACTCTCTATGTCTTCTTTGTCTATCGCTTTGTCTATCAATTTCAATAATCAGTCCGCAGATCAACATGGAAAAATAAATGAAACCGCCCGATGTATCAAGTCAGTAACATATAGACATAGATAACTCCCCGAATAGTTTAACGAAACAAATCACAAGGTAATGGGCAACAAGGCTAAAACAAACAGAATGTATGGGGACCTCTCTTTTTATCACGGAGGGGGGGGGGGTCAAAGGTTTTTTTTTAAATTTTTGTTTCCTGGTCGAGGAGGAGGTTGGAACTGCTCCGAGACGATTCAGGCAATCCGTCTCTTTGTTTTTAGCCTTAATTGCCCATTTTCTTGAATTTTGTTTCATAGATAACTCCTTCTTTCCCCTTTCGATGCTTCGTCATAGTGCGTTCCAGAATTCTGCAACGTCGAGTCCCATAAGTTTTGCGAGTATAAGCAGTGCTAGCTCTCTTTAAATGTTTTTAGTGTGACCCAAATTTTTTATATTACGTATACAACCGTCATGGAACTTAACGCGATTCCCGAGTCAAGGTCCGAGAGAAATATCAGAGTAGAAAAGTTGGATGGGGGCGAAAAACTTGATACAACTAATTTGACCTCCAAGATGATAAAATTGCATACTCACGAAATGAAGGAGAACGTGAACGCTTTTTGGTTGATTCAGAGACTTCAACGCAGGAGTAAGAAAGTCGCATGGGAGCGTAACATGCGATACAACTATTTTGTCTCCTAAGAAGATAAAATTATGCATCCGGTAATTTTACCATTTAAATCATGCAAATTGTCTGTCTCTATCATGGTTTGTTTTAGAAATCTGGTAGACCGATTGCAATAATTTTTGCTACTGACAGGTGTCAAAAATCCTATGGATTAAAGGGGTGAACAGTGCAGGACTTTTGGATTACCCTGTATGACTCAGAAAGCGGCCTTTTAGAGGACGTAATTTAGGGATGAGCCTCTGTCAGTGGCATTACGAGTTAAATAATCTGAAATAATTACGAATCTCTTATTTGGAACGTTATTTTTGAATTTAGCTGAGCTTCGTCGGTAAGATAAGAAAAACTGGAATCGTTCATACCGAGCAAACATATCAGTACCCCAGAGCCAAAAGGTATCTAACTCCATTGAGATCTTTTCGAGATATCAGAGAAAACCCGCGTTTTGGCCCCTGATTCTAATGTAAATCGCAATTTTTGAAACCCCGTATCTCATGACCGACGTAACATAGGGCTACCAAATTTTCCACACACACGGAACAGTTGATGGGGATTTCGAAAACGCAATGTGAGTTAGGTACCTTTTGGCTGTGGGGTACTGATATAATGACACATTTTTAACCAAGCTCTGATCACCCGAGTAAGTATGTTAAAATATTAACTCACCCATTTCCTTGCCCACTCGTGACGGCTGAGGAGAAATTTGACAGAGGAAGAGAAAGAAAGGTTTTCAATCAACGACGAGAAAAAGCGGGAAACTAAAAGTAAAATAATTACAGAGTTTACTCTAGCGGATGGCGCGATGGCTTGGCGCGCGATGTCGCCAAATTGTGGAAAATTCTTCGCATTTCAAGAAAGAAACAATGAGGAATGTGTGGATTTTCGCAGAAAGATCGTCAGCAACGTCAGCGGGTTGTCGGGCAGCAGGCCAATTTCCTCGTGTAATCATGCCGTTTAGGCGGATTGACATACGCACGTTTTTTTTTTTTTATCCTTAAACGCATCCTCACGACGGAGCTGCCAATTCTCGATCAATTATAACCTATAAAATGTCCTCCATCTCAGGAAATGCATAAATTGATTGATAAAATGCGAGACCACGTATCTCCGTTTGCAACGATGTAGACTTTTACCCATCTTTAGGTAATGTTTTCCTCGGGAAACTATTCAATGTAATTTCTTGTAACTTCTTTAAGTTTTCTTCTCTGTTAATAGAGTATTCTGTATTGATCTCAAGTTATAACGTTGACTTGTTCCTCCTCGAAAAAATAATCTAGGAGTTGAGATTTTGAAACAACGCAATGGAGATACGTGGTGTTGCACTTTAGCCATCGAACTATGTATATGTCGTAAGTAATTAGCAACAACCGACAATTTACTTACAAGTTGTTTCGATGAATCGCAATAATCGGCCCCTGAAGGTTCGATTAGTTTTAGGGGTGTCTTTCAAAGCACGATTGCGGCTCAGAACGCCTTCATTTGTTCGTGATACTCAGCGCATTGTTACGCATTTCCTGATTATGTGCTTTAATTTGTTGTTTTTAGTATTAGCTTTGTTTTTGTTATTAACTAAAATCCAAGCTGTAACTTTTACCATTAACAGGTATAATTTTTTCTACCTTTGCTTCCCTATCCCCGCGATGGGGACGCTCATGGATTCCCGCCCCGGGGGAGAAAAGGAAGAAAAAAAGTTACTTTGAGTGTAAAGCTGAAAAGTTAGCTTGGAAGAAGAAGAAGGACAAGAAGAAAAAGAAGAAGAAACTTGTCTACTGAAAAATATAAAATTCAACTTTTCGAGCTGACTTTTTAAATTTATAACATTCCATAAGACCAAGAAAACAAACAGTAAATGGATCGATCCTATTGGTTGAAGCAAGTGGCTGCCATAGACTAAAGTGGAAAACAATGGGCTGAATTTATGATTTCTCCTGCGTCGTTGTTAGTAAACTTGGTCCATCATTTCCGCCATTCGTCTACAAGAATCACTTTTTTCAACAAATAGGATCGCTCCATTTCCTTTTTGTCTTTTTTGACTATATAACTATGTCTATCAATTGCAATAATCAGCCTGCTGTATTAGGACAAGATCTTCATCAGAAAGTTGGAGTGGAAATCTCCCTCGTATACACACCCACATCGTGTGGCGAGCGTTGAGCCTCCCGTATGCGGTAACGATGCCACGTTCCGCAAATCTACTTCTGTCAGAACTGGACGTTATCATCGGCAATGAGCTATTACTTTAATCGGTCCTTAAGTCGTTGAGTTGCCGATGAACCGTTTGCCGAGTTGTAGCAACACCTGTCGATCAGCTGATGAGTGGCAGATTACACTTGAGAGGCGTCAGCCGTTCTTCAACCCTGGTTGCCACATGAATGGTACTCACCGTAACAATCAGTTTTCGGAAGATCCAAACAAGAGGAGAACCAGAATTTTTTGTGGAGGCACACGGAGAAAAATGAGAATGGCCAACGAATGACATTTTCCAGCCTTAAATTAATACCCAAACCTGACAGATTTTTATGGCTGATTCCGAAAATTACGTCCGTTTAGGTAGATAAGTTTGGTTTTCCTAGAAGAAAGAGTTCCCCCTCCCCAAATCGAGCTTTTTTCGGGGAAATTTAGTTTGTTGGAAAATCTGCGCAAGATAGAAAAAAATCATGTGCTTTATGGATTCAGCAGCCACGAATGATCTTGATTTTCCCTATACTTGTAACGGTTTTCCAAAACACAAGTTTTTCCCAGAAACGCTCGATTCTTGGAGGAAAATTCCAACTAGAGTAGACCGAATTTATGCAGAAAAATAGAAGTTATTCTTGGAGTTAGCGCTGAAGTTCTACCACGATTCCGTTGTTGTCTTTGCGGCGAACCAACTCATACTAACCAAGTAACTGTTCCTGTAACCATGCTCATAGTGGATTCGAAGGCAACTCAATTTCGATTTGAAAAAAAAAGAAAAAAAGTTTTTTGTAAAAAAAAAAAATTAATGCCGACTCTCCTTTGGGGGTAAAAAATAAGCACACGAAAAGTCCAGCAAAGTTGAAAGTTTTCGCGTGGGCCCCCGACGACAATAACTCCACACCTCGGCGACACGAGACCGAAGGAGTTCCCTGACCTTGATTCTGACCCGGGGCACACCAGCGCGGTGGGCCCAAGCTTCGACGAGGTCCCCGGGCGGACCCAGTGCTGATATGTAAACAAGCGCTTTTCCGTTTTCGCCCCCTTCCCCCCCCCCCCCCNGCGGGCCCCTCCGAGAGGGGGCCTGATCTACTTGCACACTAACTGTAGAATGTGCGCTGGCCCATGACTTCCGGACACTCGCCCGCCGCATCTCCGGCAAAGCATCTTCCAGGGCCCAGTCGCGAGTCTTAGCCGCCAGAAGTCGGTGCTCTCCCGTCTCCAACCCAAGACGTCACGCGCCGCGTTTTCCCGCATTTCCACGTCCGTGCCACCACCACCCCTCTTTTCAAGGCCAAACTATCCCATTTCAACCCTCTAATTGCACTTGCGGAAATTACGGAACCTACAAGTGCGGATCGTGCCACGCCGAGAACTTTTGGATCCTCGACATTGACACGTTTTGACCATCCGGAAAGACTTTTACAAGTGTCTTATTAGGCGCATTATTTTGACGTCGAAAGTTTACAATTATTCGTTTAGCCTTCCTGTCTTTTCGAAGACTCTTTGGAAATTGTGCTTCTGCGAGGATTCCGAGAGTTTGCCTCGCTTCGACTGATCTTGCAGAATCTCGGTTCGTTTAACTGTGAAGTACGTGCCATCAGTGGTTCTGAAGCTCCTTCCGCGGAAAGTCGAGTATCGCTGTAAAATGCGAGGAGTGACGCATTGCAGCCGGTTGACTATCGCGCGGTGATGTATGGCCGTGTCCTTACGATGAGTGTTTTGATATGTTAATGTACAGAGATTGTTAGAAATAACGGGAAAGTGTTGGAAGAACGAGTGAGTGCGAATTACAAGAGGATGGAGCTGAAAACTGTTTTGATGCTCATGGCGACTGTCTTCTATCAGGTAATGTTATTTTCGAGTAAAAGTCTGAGAGCCAGACGATATTATGTGAAAAACTCGGGACACAAGTTTTGACATCTTAAATCTGAGCTGACACGGAAAATCGTTGTCCGCCGTTGTTGGCACACACTACAACGGGGCCAATGATTTCCAGTGTCAGTGCATGTAAGACTATCGATTTAAATGGTCGAAACTTCTGTTACAAGTTTGTCACAAAATGCCATCGAGCTCTCGGTCTATAAGCTGACCGAAGTCTCATAGGCTAAGATGGAGAATATCGATGGCCGAAGTGTAAAAACGCGTATCTCCATCGCGGTGTTTCAAAATTTCCGCTTAGCTGTTATATTTTATATTTGTATACTGTATATTTTTTGTAGAGGACTAAGGCCTCTTTAGAACTTGAAATTTTTACAGAATATTCTGCTAAAAGAGAGGAAAACTCATTGCAAGTTCCGAGAGATTACTTTGACTAGTATTCCAAAGAAACAGCAAAGTATGGCAGGGAATCTGCAATGTCGCAAACGGAAATACATGGTTTCGCACTTCGGTTATCGATATGGACAACTTTATGGAAAATAAAAATTTGAAATTTCATGCGATTTTCTGGTAAAACTTCAATGAATTAAATTTTAAGGCTATTTTCTAAGAAATTTCAGAATTTTTTTTACAGTTCATTAAAATTTTACATAAAATTTAACGTGAAATTTCGAGGGCAATTTCCGCTTATGGTCCCCATTAGATATTTCAAACCATCGAACAATTTCTGACACTTTTGAGGGTGTTATGACGTTACGTAGCGAATATGTTGAGATATAATTAGTAATTCTTTGGTTAAGGGAATCCTGGATTGTACTTTCAAAGTGATGGACTAAATAGATGGGTGAAATTGTGACAGTTAAACGGAAAATCACAAGGCACATTTCACGACAAACAGCCATTGGATATCAGTTAGCAGTTGCATAAAAACGATGGTCACCGAGGAATTTCCTCACGCGGCTCTCAGCAAAGGATCCATTTAATTTTCTAAGAAATTGAGTTTTACATTTATACAAGCACGGGAAAGGGAGCTCAGTGCTGAAAAATCGAAATTAAAATATTCGTATCACAGCTCATAGAATTAACATTTTAACACAGAAAACGGGTAAAAGTCTCGAAGATAATTGGAGGTATGACCGTTTGATGTTTTCAGCTGGGCCGGATTTACCTTCTTGCCGCCCATGGGCCGCATGTATTATTTCGCCCCCTTCTCATTCGTTTCGAAACATCAATAGATCGTATTCGACAGTGGCTCGATGTATCGTTTGGTTCGAAACAATAGAACCTCAAACAAAAATTTTAGGATTTAATTTGGAAAAGCTGAAAATGATAAAATTCCTAACAATTTCACTTTTCATTGCCATTTGGTACTCGAGAGAATAAAAATTCGATCACGTAAGACCCGTTACCTCAGATTTCTAAATTGAGGCTGTGATTACATATTGAATCAATCGATATCAATGTAATCTCACCTGTGTGATCTGTGTCGAATACGATCTATAAAAACCATCAAGTGAACTTGCCGGTAGGGGAGGGGAAGAGGTGTACGAGACGCGTTTACTTGTGTTGGGCACATTTTTTGTGAAAGCCCTGTCAACACTGACAAAAGTTCATGGTTCCGTAAAACCATCCCTGTTTGGAAAAGGCCTTCCATTTAAAAAAAACGAACGAGCAAATTATGAAAGACCAAACATAAATGTGGTTAATGATTTTACCTTCCGCCGCCGCCGCGCCGACCGCACTGAGTTGGAGCAATGCGTGAAGGATTCATGCAGTCTTGTAGGCGCTATGCGTTTCGAGCCGACCGCAGTGTGTTTGACGCAATGCGTGAAGTATGCATGCAGTCTTGTAGGCGCTATGCGTTTCATGCCGACCGCCGTGCCGCGCCGCTCCGTTCCAAGTCAAATTGCGTGTTTGGTTTCTCTCTTAACTCGACTAATTAAAGGTGTTTTCTCTGGTATCACCAAAAGACGACAAAATTAGACATTACCATACTTTTACTCTCAGGAAATGAGAGATTTTGTCGTCTCTCCTCGTTGGTAATTTATTTTCTGAATCCAATTTTTCCTCTCTTTTTTTGATGCCTACATTAAAAAAGATTGCAACCCCCTTCATTTTCCCGCCATGGGCCGCGGCCCATGTGGCCACCCCCTTAATCCAGCCCTGGTTTGCAGTCCTAAACCCGGATTTTTGGTAAAAGGCTTGTTGAAGTTGGGACTAGTCATCTCCAAGACTCAAAATTATTAGTTAAGGTGCATCTTTACGCTCTGTAAGGGCTACGTATTGAGAAAATGGCTGTCAACAAAGTCGTCTGCACATGCAGTGCAACCGACAAAAATTGGAGGTCCGATCGCCGACTCTGTCGTGCTATGGAAAAACGTCGTATGACCCTTCAGACTTAGCTACATTTCCTTCAATAAAATCGGAGCTCACTGAAAAAATTCCGAGTATTTTTCCTCCAATTGTGCAGACAATTTTGTTTGCAATTTAATCTATAATATCTGAAAATTTTAAGGATAAATATGCATAACTTTCTTAAAAAATAAGCATTTTGTCGGGGGAAATTTGGCAACGTCTAAAGGCTCACACGGTGTTTTGCCTTGAAGTGGCAGAATTTCGCCGGTCGTGCTTCGTGCCAAAATTTGACGACACCGTCGACAATCACTTCCTGAGTGTGCAAAAAAATGGAAAAGCCACTAGTATGCTGTCTTCGGAATACCACGGAGAGTTTCTCGTTAGATCACCCATCAATTAATTGTCTGGAAAGGTGAACTTCTAAAAAAAACGAAGGTTTAGAATGACGCATTTCACTGTGTGCCCAGAGGAGGAATCCGTCAAATAGCGCAGTTTGACTTTTAAACAGATCGTGTATTACTGTAGGGACAGCTATCAAATTCAATCACAGAAACACGCTTCTGTGCTATGCGTAACTGACTCACTGTGTCGAGCACATGCTCGTGGGGCGTTTTAACCGACAGCAGAATAGCATTAGACAACCGTCAGAAAACCAGCTGGAGTTCAAAGGTATTCCGTCTCGTTGAGGAAGAATGCCGAAGGAAGATTCGAATGTAGCCGAGTTTTCTCGGATATGAAATTTATTTTTTAAGGAAAAACGCTTAAAAAATGGCTCGAAACCTGTGAGTAATAGGACGGAAGAATGTGCAGATGGTTCCTGTTTTTGTAATTTTTACTCGCGAAAGTTTCACCTCAATAAATACGATCAGTTGACACGCATCGGAACATATAGGTCATATCAAATGGACGTATATATTAATGCTAAAAAGAACTATGTCGCACACAAAACCTATGCACATAGCTCTTTTTAGCGTAATTACGTCCAATTGATACTAAAAAAAGGTACCTATGTAAGATTCAGTGCTGAATTTCACGATTCTCACGATCTCAAATATAAGCAGCATTTTTGTGTAGGTCATCAGATCATTTTATCAGGGCCGATGCGTCCATAGGTGTAAGTAAGGAGAGCTGAGGAAGCCGCTACCCTCTTCTCCCAGAAATCTACTTGGCCCTTTCCAGAAAATGTTAGAAATTATGCACAATATGTGCCGGTTATATGTTTTTGCTTTGAAATTGTGTTTTGATCAACTAATCAGTTAGAATAGCACAAAATGATCTTTATGACGACTCATGTTTCGAAGTTTTCTCAAGAGGGCTTACCTGAGTGGGTATCTCTATTTCGAGCGGAAGAAATCCTTTTGAACTATTATTTATGGAGCCCGTGAAGTATTTTCGACCCAGTACTTTACGGGGTGTCTTTTTTTACCCTCGCATACCCTCCAGACCTCCCTTGATATGCTGTCATTCTGCTTCCTCCCATCACATAAGGTTCCTTGTTCCGCCCATGGAGGCGCCGGATTATGCTGCGAATAAAATTTGTCGAAAATCTAAAGAAAATGTTCGCGGAAAACTCATACTTTACACGGAGAAAAAAGCTTCGTGCATGGGACCCGAAGTTGAGGTCATATGGATCTCTGAAGTTTTCGGATCACACATCCAAAAACTTGAGGTCCAACTGCCGAAGTTCGGGTCAGACATCTGAAGTACTTAGGTATGTACCGGATACTTCAGATGTGTGACCCGAACCCTTCGGTATGTACCTAAGGACTTCAGATGTCTGACCCGAACTTCGGCAGCTGGACCTCAAGTTTTCGGATGCGAGACCCGGAAACTTCAAAGATCCATATGACCTCAACTTCGGGTCTCGTGCACGCAGTTTTTTCCTCCGTGTACGAGGAGAACTTCGGCAACATCCAAGGATTCATACGGCGTTTTTCCCGAGCGCGGTAAAATTCATGGATGGGAAACTAGTGCAATGGGCGAATGACTGACGTGTTTCGAATGTTTAAAGTACTGATCAACTTCAATCAGTGCGATACGGACGGCGCGGCGCTGGGCCAGGCGCACGCCACCGCGGTTTTCGACTGTTTCAATTAAAATGCGTCCGTTTCGCGTCGGAAAAATTACGAGAATTTCCCTCGATCCGACAACGGCGATAGGTTCGGGGAACCACACGACGCGACGCGGCGCGGCGGAGGACGCATTACTTTTCCGCACCAAATTAAGTTCCGCGGGCCCATCGCGGGACGCGGGATGCGGCAAAGTTTCCATTGCTACGTGGTCGCCCTGCGAGCTGCGCTGTTCGCCAAACCACTTTCTGCTCGGTATAATTTTCCGCGCCCGCTCCAAATACAATACTTGTTCAAACAACCCGTGGAAACCGGGGCACACTTGGAGTCTCATCCGCGTCGTTGTCGCCTCTCTATAACGTCGATACCCTCGTCCTTTCCTCGCTCACGAGAAAAATCCGTCGCAGGACGATTCCAACCGGAGACAATATATTTTGGAAACCTCGCATTGCTATCTCGTACTTTCGGAGGTCAAGCCTTTGATTCACTCGATGATGATTAAACTAACGAGTTGAGCAATGGACCAGCGGACTGATTATTGAA